AAGTTCATAAAAATGATTTCTTAAGAAATAGCATCCAAAATCAGACTCAAGATTTGAAACTTTGCAGCAGTGATTGTTTAGGAAGAAATTGGTTATTTCAAATTCTATTTTTTATTGTTTAAGTCATTGATTTATATTTTATATTTCATCAAAGAAATCAAAACTGCAGTTATAGGATTCCTTTTTCATTCAGAGCAAGTGTAATCATATAGAGCAGGAAACTACTTCGTATTCCTTAAAACTATGCTTTGTATATTGTAAGACATTAAATGTAACTTTCTGCACAGTACACAGTTAATATTTTAACTGAATTCTCAAGCTCCACAACATTTAGTTACTTTGTTCAGATTTTATCAATATAGATGAATCCTTGAAGTTTTCTCAATCCAGAAAAAAATGACTGAACCAACAGTTTTCTTAAATTACTACTTTGGAAAATGAATGTATAATATGTATGAAGGTACTTCTATAAAATCATTAATAAATATTAATTTTTCCATCAGCCAAGAATGGTACCCTTAGAAAATCTGAATTGGGGTACAAGAATAAGAATTGGGGCAATGTTTTCTGATCCTTGCAAGTTGATTTAAGAGCTGTTCTCAAATCAAGAATAGGTAAATGTTTTTAAAAGTGAGAGTTACTCATTCCAAAGATGCCAACAGGCAGGATTTATGCAAATTATCTCAGAATCTTTGGCTATGACAGTTGAGAAATAACTGCTATTTCTGGTTTTCTAGAATCTATCTGATTTTCAGCAAATTTCATTTGCAATTTTATTCAGCATACAGTCAACTGAAATACAATATAGCTAATCAGTTTCCTACCAAAAGGTGCATGTCTCATCTGCTGGGTAATAACTTAAATGTTAATTTCTATTTTGGAAAAAAAATTGACAAGTATCAAAATATGAATGAACATTATGAAATGAAATCACACATTCCTGGGGTTTTTATTTGCAAGTCCTAGATATTTAACAATTTAAAATTATCAAGTCACATTTCAGATAGCTTAACTTCTTGCAGTTGTACTTCTACTTTGAATATTGTACAATGCTCTACAATTCCAAACTTGAGAATCATTTTATTTAGGGATTATTTACATGACAAATTTAAAATTAATGAGAAAACATGACCATCTTTGGATTCTTTGGAGAAAAAAATTGAGGTACTATTAATTTATGGAAATATTTCTAAGACTTTTTTTCCTCTCAATTTGTTTTGAACATGACTATAATTAAAGGTGATCTGAAACATCTGATCTCACAACACTTAAAAAGCCTTATAAATATAATGGCCTAACCACACAGATAATTTTTGCTTACCAGGCACTTGTCATTTAAATCAAAGGCAGATGTCTACATGCTATATGATGGATTATACTACCTTGCCAGACTTTCTATTTCAGAGTATATCAGTTGCTTTCAGAGATAATTCTGAGATAACCTCAGAATTATATAAATCAGAGCAAGATATAATGCATAAGCAGATAATTATTATATTTGGTGTTCCTCATGTGTAAAAAAATTGTGGTTAGTTTTTATGAATGACAAAGAAAAGTTCACTGCCACTCATGTTCCATTGTACTATCACTTCACAAACCAATTTAATTTCAGTACTGCAGATGATCAAGGTAGGTGAGAAAACTTCATAAAACAATAAATAATGACAATAAAAAAACAGAGTAAAGTTATTTTTTGTATATGAAGTCTGGTAATATTGGACATTTTTAATACAGGATAACTATGTGAACAAAGAAGCATGATTGCTTCTCCCAAATGATTTAACTGATTCCCAATTTTGGACCCAATTCTTTCAAATGGAAGAACAGTTCTGTACCATACTAGATAAAATTGGTATACTGTAATGTAGTCCTTGACTTGCAACTATTAATTTAGCAACCAATTGAATGGCCCTGAAAAAAAGTGGCTTACAGCTGTTTTTCACATTTATGACTGTTGCAGCACGCCACTGTCATGTTATCAAATTTTGGACACTTGGCAACTGGCAAGTATTTATGATGGTTGGTTGCAGTATCCTGGAGGCATGTGGTAACTTTTTGCGACCTTTTGAAAAGCAAAGTCAATGGGGTAGCCAGATCCACTTAAAAACCATGTTACCAACTTAAAAACTGCAGGGATTCACTTAACTGTGACAAGAAAGGTCATAAAATGGGGGCAAACTCACTTAATTATCTTCCTTACCAACAGACATTTTGGGCTCAATTGTGGTCATTAAATTGAGAGCTACCTGTATATAAATAGCAATTTCATTTACCCCTGGTTAATAAAAACAAGAACAAAATCATTTATGTAAAACACTTCTGCTAATATAACTAATTTATATCACATAGTACACGTAATCAGAACTGAACACAAATACAGGATTACTATCTCAATATGAATAAGGTTTGCTTACGTGTATAGACTGGCCATTTTCAAATTGAATATTCTATGATCCAAAGTCAGAGGGTTTACTGCCAGACCACACATACACACTTAACAAAGATTGTATATATAGCAAAGCTTTCTTTTTTTGATAGATATTTATTTATAAATATGGTCTCCAAGAAAAGTTTTAATACATCTCAGACTTCAGAACTTAATTTTTAGTGAGTGGATACAAAATATAGAAAGATAATATAAAAAATTAATGCACAGCAGTCTCAGTTATTGTACTCTTTCATATCTTTGGCTTTGTCATTGACAATGTTGAAATCAACAAGGTAACTACATCAGACTTGAAATCAACTTCAATATTGCCACTGCAATAATTGTTTGAACAACATATTGTAGGCATAGTCACTGTCTTTCCCCTCTATCCAAACAGAGATTGAAGTCTGTTTTTCATTTTCTTTGCCACTTTCAATAAGGTACAGCTTTAATAGTACCAAATGATAGCCCTAAACTTTTTATATATTATTAACATTTTATGTTAAATATTTTTTTAAAAAAATAAGTTACCGTGAAATATAGTGCTAAAAAACAATTTTTTTTCCTTTTTCCAACCCTGTTCTAATATTAATAAATTGAAACATAAATTACCAAACAATTTGTCTTATGAAACATCTGAGTTATTGTTCCTTTTTTTGATTAATAAATTCATATGTCCAAAGGATTTTGTCCGCTATAGTGATGAGTAATTGATGTGATATACTATGACAGTGAACATAAATTTGCAGAGGTAACTATCAACCACTTATTGATAGTTGGAAAGAAAAAAAGCACAAAACAGTTCAAATAAGCAAATATAATTTATTTATTTGATTTATATAGTAGTCCACCTTCTATACTTGGCTTACAGAGAAAAATATAACCGAAACCATAACAACAAAAATCCATTAAAACAATCAAAAATATTACAATCCCAAGAAAACATAACCTGTAGGATAATACAATCAATCTCACTAATAGTCCAGCTGTTTTGTGTCTTCCATACTACCACTACAAGAACTATAGGCCTGATGGCAAAAATATGCCTCCAGACCCCTTCTGAAAGACCAGTAAGGTCAGAGCCTGATTGGTGAGTGAAATGCATTGGTAGATTAAAATGTAGCTGGCAAAAAAGAACAAGAGGGGAAATCTATGTTAATGAGAGGCCAAATGATGTATTGTAATGATTAATGCTAGAATGTGTTGAAGGAAAGTGAGGCTTTATATCTTTACTCGGTGAATTCAATTTTACTGGGTAACATAACAAGTACTGTATTGAACCAGCCTGATTACAACTGATTCTTAATTTTCTCAAATGGAAAAGTTGGTTTCACAAAAATCACTTCAGACACCTTTTCAATTGGTTTCATCGTCCTTTGTATTATTAAGGTTAACGTACATTTTGTTAATACACACAATAGCTAGGTACCGGTCAAAATCCAATGCTGCTTCATATACTTCAAACCTTCAATCTGAAAATGTTCCATCAATTAAAAATTGCCAGCCGGGGAATAAATGAAATATACTACTATTACCTGGAATGTTAGGCTTCATTATTAGCTTTTTAATAAGGGTTACATTAGCAGGGTTACATTAGCTTTGCAGTCTAGGCCCCTTTTCTAATTTTTCTCTTTTTTGCCAAGGCCATTTTTTGTTTTGTGAGATTTCAGCAACTAAACAATATAGAGAAAAGTCTCTCTCAAATTCAGATATCAAGTTTTTATCAACTCCATGCTAAATTCAGGGTCTCTGAATTTCAAGACATTACCCGCATGAAATCTTTAACTTTCAAAAGGTAATAGACGACAGGCAGCAACACATTTCCTGTTTGAAAAGAACCATACAGAAATGAAGCCGGTCCTTAGCCCAGAGAGAAGTGATTGTGGTACCCTACAAAACAAACCTTTTGCTTCAGGAAACGCGCAACCCGCAAGAAGTGTCCAATACGCTTCAGTCAATTTCCCGACATCATTTTTTTTTAGGGGGGGGGGGAAAGAATCCAAACTTAGCACAGCTTTTTTGCCCCAGGCCCAGAAAAAAAAAGTAATTTCATTTGTAAAAATTATTTCTTTATGACAAGACAGCCGTTTAATTTGAAGACCGGGGGAAACTGACCATTCACTGCGGCGGGCGGAACTCTTGTTGTCGAAGCTCTTCTCTTGCCTCACGGTATTGTCCGCATCCGGGTAAAGAAATTCCCACGGCAATTCCAGGGAAAAACCGGACCTTTCCCAGCAAGTCCGTCAGCCGGAGAGTCGTTCAAATTTTGTGGACGAAAAGTGAGCGCCCTTTAATCGCCTTGTACACTTTACCACAGGGAGCTCTTCCTCTTGTCGGCGTGATTCCTCCTCCTCCAGCCCCCCCCCCCCCCTCGTCAGCACGACCATCTCTGCGGGCCTACCCAACCCAACTGCGGGAGCGGCGGGAGGAAGGCCTGTTTGAGTGATTTTCTTGCCCAATGAAGCCGCGCGTCGTACTTCACTGACATCCGCGTCGCGCGCAGCCTAACGGCTCCGCCTCCTCCTTCTCTGGCCCGTGGGCGTGTGCGCGAGGCGGAGCGGTGAGGGTAGCATGTTGGGCTGTGAATGAACGGCTGGTTTGGGTGACGGCGTGAGCGCGAGCGAGCGAAGGAGCGCGCTCCACTGAGAGCGAGCGAACGAGCGAGCGAGAGCAGGAGAGGGCGCGAGTGAGCGGGCCATGGCCGGAGCTCAGTGACTGACTGACTGACAATAGAAACCAGCGAGAGCTGCAGAAACGCCCGCAGTCCCAGGAACAGAAGCGGAAGGCCGCAGCCGCAAAACAGAACGCCGCCTCTCGTTAGATTTCGCCGAGCCTCCTTCTTCCTCTCCTCCTCCTCCTCCTCTTCGCACCCCGCAGGCAGCTCGGGCCGTGCTCGCTTGGCGCCCCTCCTTTCCCCAGGCCGACTCGCCGGGAATGTGAGAGAAGCAGCCGCGGAGAAGGAGGAGGAGGAGGCCTGGCAAGCGGCGGTCGGCTCGTCAGGAGGAGGAGGAGAAAGGCAGGAGAGGCCCCGGCCCGGAGCGTTGCATGGGACCGAGTGGAAGCTGCTGCTGTTGCTGCTGCTGCCGCCGCCGCCGCCTCCGATCCTGACTCCGCCGCTAACGTCGTTTTGCGCTGGGGAGGCCGACGAGGCCTACCAGGCTGCGGCTGCTGCTTCTGCGGCAGGGAGCGCACCGCAGAAAGAGAGAGGGAGGGAGAGACACGCGCCGACGAGGCTTGCCGCCTTCGCTTCAACCAGGGATCGACTTCATCCTTTTCTCTCCTTTTCTTGTCTCCGGATTCTCTACCAGGAGGGATCAAGGTAACTTGCTTACCAGGCCTGGGAAGCTGACGGGGAGAAATGGGGGAAACATTATTAGAGAGGGGCGGAGAAAAGGGAGCCGGTGGAAGGAGAGCGGCTTAGGGTTTTCTGTACAAACCCGGCACGCGAGATCTTTTAGGACTTGAGCTCTTCCTTCTTAGGGGTCATCTAGCATAGGCAATAGCGGCCAGCCGATCTCACATCGGGATTGGTGTCTCCTCTGTTATCCCTTCCCTTTTAATGTCCTTGGTATTATTTTTTTCAACCCCGTTTCCTAATTTTCCCTTCTCCCAATCTCTGACGTCTGTGATAAATCAGTTGCTTTATAGTAATCATCGTCTTTCGATCACATCCTTTAAAAATAATCTTTCTCGACTCGGTTGTGCTGGTGGTGGGGATAAATGCTGCGGTTCACCTTAATAAATGGCAGTTATTTCAAGAATAATTTGTTATTCCCATTTTTAAAGAATGAAGTCCTACTTTAGACGATATGAAGGGGGAAACACACACACACACCCCATGATCTTGTTTATCTTTATTGCTAAGGATGGCTAATTTCGAATGAGGTTTAATAATTTATAAAGAAGGAGAGAAGAACTGTTACTAAATTTATAGCTGAGATGTGTTGTTTCTTGTTGACACAATGATCCTGCAGCTGAACTGATCTGCTTGAGAACTTGTCAGTTAATATGGTGAGTGGTTCTGTTTAGAGACTGTGGAAATATTTCTGGAGGGATGGAGATAATGTATTCTAAGAATCATGGGCAGTGCAAATATAAACCTTCCATTATATATTCAGAACCAAAGATTCTAGTCTAAGTACAGTTAGGGAGCAAAAGTTTGTAGAACCTTTGGATTTAGTGGCTGGAATTTTGCTCTCCATGTTATAGTATCTGGAGATTTCCAATTCCCAGTGGAATTAAAGTAATACTTCAGTTATTCTTTGAAGAACATTTCTCAGTATGCATAAGGTGCTGGTTTCATGCAACTAAAATACTGATAGCAATGTTACGCTCGTAAAAAGCCTTACATATAAATTGCTTATGTTATATTAAAATTGATAACTATTATACTAATCAAGTATTACTATACTTTCATACTAGGCTATGCAACTTGGTGTAACAATGCAATGGTGTCCATGAGAATAATGACTTGATAAAGTAGCAATTGATTTTGATAAATCTGCTTTTTCCACTGAGCATCAATCGGTTTAATTTTTGTAGTAGAAAAATAGCTCTTATGCACACAATTGTGGTTTGTCCCACTTAAATTTTGGTACCTATGTTGTCATGCTAAAAGTTTATAATACGCAGATATCAATTTTCCAGTTTGATAAGATAGTGTTCAGAAGTATGTCATTATGGCAATAATACCCTCTGTCTTAAAAAGATTGTGTAGATGTCTCATTGTGTGCACTTATTGTCATGATTAAGTTTACTAAAGAAATAAATGAATATTGTAGTGATCTTTAGTGAGTATTTTATAATATGTAATTTCAGTATTATGCTTAGTATTACTTGAAAATCTGTTTGGGGCATAAGCCTTGCTTTAAAAGCTTTGTATTATTTAATATATATTTAATGTATTGCTTCAGACCTACATCTCCATCAGAAAAAACAAGAAACCACTTTTTTCCCTAGGAGGACATTTATATATTTTTTAAAGATATTAAAACATTTTTATTTTTATTTAGAAACTTTCCCATCTTTAGCATTATTGTCATCTTTATAAGGTGGTAGTACACAAATCTTTCTCTTATATCATGAGCAAGGTTGAGCTAAACTTGTCTGAATGCCAAGATACTCTAAGAATCTCCTCAGCCTCTATGTATTTACTATATAAATAGATGCTTTGGCTTGAATGGACTGAAAATAGTAGAGGAGAAAGCCCCTAAAACATGCAAGGTGAGAAAAGGATGATAGCTTTTTTTCAAAGTTATGACTTTGAAAAAAAATAATCTTGTGCTTGTCAGGATGCTACTGCTGCATTTATATTTTTCTCTTTCCTAGGCTATTCCCTACATTTTGCTTAACCAATGCAGGGTGGTATCTTTGACTCACTGAGAAAGGTGACCAGATGCCACATACCAGGTTTAGGAAGGAAGCAGCTACTTGACTGATAATGCTCATAGAGATAAGATGTGAAAAGCAAAAGTAGAAATCTGGTCCACCAGCAACTTCTAGATCTGAATTACTGTGAGAGGGACAGTCCGTGATGGTCAGGGAGCACAAGTAATGGCTGAGGTGGGTTTAGGGACTTGATCTACAGCTAATTTAGACAGCTTCTGTGTTCCAACAGCATACCTCTGATTGAAAATCACTATCTCATGGGAAGGCTATGTAATGATGAAAAAGCTTTAATTTTAAGTTTAAATAGACAAGTTATGTATCATCTACTGTTTCCCCCCATTTTCTGTGAAGCAAAAGATAAAAGTAGCATAATTGCTACTTTTGAAGAGTATCCGGAACCTCCAGTTGCTGCAAAATGCAGCGGCCCGCATGGTTTTGTGCAGACCCCGGTATGCACATGTGTCACCTCTCCTGCTGGAACTGCATTGGTTGCTGATTTGCTTCCGGGTGCAATTCAAGGTGCTGGTTGTCATGTTTAGAGCCCTTCATGGCTTGGGACTGGGTTATCTGAGGGAACGTCTCTTGTCCGTCACATCTACCCGACCCATGAGAGTGGGGAGGCAGGGACTGTTGTGGGTTCCATCCCTGAGGGAGATACACCTGGTGGGACCCAGAAGAAGGGCCTTCTCCATGGTGGCTCCCTCTCTCTGGAATATCATTCCCCCAAAGATTAAAATGGCCCCCACTCTCGCACTCTTCCAGAAGGCACTGAAGACCTGATTTTGCCAGCGGGCCTGGGGAACCCAGAGCGGGATGGAGCCCATTAAATGACTAGTGTGATCTGCTGTCATTGGGGTGGAGGGTGGGATTTGGGGGGTGATTTTTTTCCCCCAGATTTTGTTCTATTGTACTTTATTAATTTATTTGATTCTTTTTGTTAGTTTTTATTTATTTTTTGTTTTAAATATGGTTTTACATTGTGTAAGTTGCCTCAAGTCGCCATGGGCGAATAGGTGGCAATATAAATTAATTAAGTAAATAAATAATAGCAGATATATTAACTGTCTAACTTTTGCATAAACTGTTATTGGATTGGTGTCCTTGAATGTGGAATTTTTCAATAGCGATGACTGGAAGATACATTATACTCTTGCCAAAGTATGATAATTGTAGAAAAAATGTAATTCCTATGTATGTATGTATGTATGTATGTATGTATGTATGTATGTATTAATGTATGTATGTATGTATTAATTAATTACTGGAGTGCTATTGCTATTAAGATATTACAGACTTGTTTTTTTCTGCCTGTTAGTGGCAGATGAATGTAATGCAGGAAAAGTTTGAAGAGTATCTCAGAAGAAGGAGAATACAATGGCAATAAAATAAATTCATGGCACAGGAAACTGTAATACTTGTAAAGCCAGACAACATGGAAAAGTTCAAGTGGTCCTTACTGTTGATAGATTGATAGATCTGACAAGATAGGGTAATCAGAACTGGATTAGGATAATGGGGCTTTAAAAAAGGTTACTGCATATGCCCAATGTATTAAAGACATTCTTCCTCAAATATATTGAGGTCACCTTCTTGAACTGTCAGCATTGGTCAAGTTGGCTGGAGACTTCTTGATAAAATTCCATACAACTGGAAGATAGGAAGGATAAACTAAACTATACACAGTAGTTAACTATTACTTGGTACTATGATCTAAATGAGAGTAAAACATGGACAGATTAGGACTTTTTTTCCTTCATATTTACTTGAAAATAATGTCTGTTCTTTTCAGTAGGGATATGTCCTCAGCACCAACCACTCCTCCATCAGTGGATAAAGTAGACGGATTTTCTCGGAAGTCCGTCAGAAAAGCTAGGCAGAAGAGGTCGCAAAGTTCCTCCCAGTTTCGGTCTCAGGGCAAGCCTATTGAGTTAACTCCACTGCCTCTGCTAAAAGGTAAGGCTTTGTGGCCCTTTTAAATATTGAGAAACAGTGGTTATACAACATCTATTTGCAGCCATATTTACTATTGTATTAGTACATTTGAATATTTGTATGTATGTATACAGATGTGCTGTTCTTTAAGCCTGACAGGCAGATACCTATGATGCAGGAATGTAAAATAGCTGCTATTTTAGCAGGAAGTGCAGGATTTGTAAATTATTGCTTTATCATAGCATCTGACTATTTTTGAAACATTTAATCTTTAATAATTTTGTAGCTTGCTGATAGAGGAAAATGTGTGAAAAATATAAAACTATGGGGAATGTTTTCTATTCTGGGCATAATTTTACTGTCAAAACATTTCAGCCTATGCAAAAGTATAGTTCTCACTACATGTAATATTTTGTAAATATGGCAAATAGGTATCAGAACATTCTGTTTCTGCTCACATTTTTTCTTCCCTTTGGTTATTTAGTTCATTTACAAAGAACAAGGTATAGACTGTAATTGAACAAAGATAATGCATCATCATTTTGCTAGAGTCAAACAGAAAAAAAAGTTAATATGTATCTCACAGTAATAAAAGTACCCTGGTAATCGTGACTTTGTATTGCAGAATTGGTTTTTGTTGGATTTATGAACATACCTTGCTGATAGAGAGATTGGGTCTTTACTCAAACTCAAGCTCAGTCAGCTTGTCTACTTTTAAAAAAACTTCAGATATTGGAGAAGTGGGGTAAACGATATATTGTCTTTTCCTAGTGCTATATAGTATGTCCTAAGACAAAGTAGTCAGATCCTCTGAAAATCCTATTGTAGTTGCTTTGTAGGCTTTCTTCAGTTTTCTCTATGTGCATGCATATGTTCAGAAAACACTTCTGTTAGGGCCAACTCATTATTTTAATATTTTGAGGAGGGTGCTTCGCTTGCACAGTACTTTTTGTGATACACTTTGCATTGCTCTACTAAAATACTGTAGCCAACATTCTTGCTTTAAAATATCCGATTTCTATCAGTTTTGATTGGTTTTTATGTCTTGTTTAAAATGAAACAATGTTGTATTTGAATATTAACTATTGTTTAAGGTCTCAACATAAAATTCTATGTGACACTTGAATTTTACATAAATCTATCAAAACTAAAATGCTTAGAAAGTAACGTAGCTGACTTTCCCAATGTTAGGTCAAAAAAAAAATGCAGTTTGACTGATCAAATCATGATTGAGGTTGGAGAAATTATATAATAGAAGAGAGGGTGGTATTAATCAGAAAAGTCTTGCTTCACAGATTTATAATGGCTAAGCAGTATTCTAAACTATGATGACCTAATTATTATAAATAATTTATGGATTGTTACAGATTCTAGGAATTTAATATGGAACCTTCTGTATACAAGATGCTTATTTTATAACTTAGTACACTTTCCAAATATTGCAATGCCAAAGGTTTTTTTTTGAGAAAATGGATTATTTTTATTAATTAAAATTATTAATTTAAATTTGCACTGAAACAAACTAATTATCCCATAAACAGAATAATTTTTAGTGTGGAAGTAGTGGTGATCAGGAAAATTCTTATCATGATTTAAACGGAGAAGAATATTTGTATGTGTCCAGTCCTTGTGCAGTTGGGTAGTAAAGAACATTGATTTGTTTTATAATTGTTAGAAAAACATTTCACATTTTTCATAAAAGGTATTCTTGACTTCATAGAATATTTATTTATTTGTTTGTTTGTTTATTTATTTATTTAAAAAGGCTTGTTTTCCTCTCGAATCCTGCAAGATTCCTTTCTAAAAAGTTAAAATGTAAAACTATTTAAGAAATACTGCTTAGGAATTCTATGAGTTACATATTTAATATGCAGTTATTCATATATAATTATAAATCACACATAGATAATATAAGTTCTGAATTACATACTTTTTATGATTTCTCAAATCTATTAAATTATTGGGATAAGAGAATGTTTCTGATTTCTCAATACCACCATGACATTGCACGGGGTAAATAAATATTTAGTAATACTGTTGAACATTTCTTCAGTGTCAAAACATACCACCTACCAAACTAGTTGCTGAGATAATGTAGTTCTATATTATTCTTCGTATGATGGAGGATTCTGTATTCATGATTAAAAATTAAATTGTATACTCATTTATAATTCAGTCTATGTATTACTACATTAATTTGGTTTAATTTCTTAATGTCTGGGAAAACGTTTATTAATTGAGATTTTCAGATTTAAGATAGATTTAGGGCATCAAAAATTTCATGTCTTTGGCACAAATGTGTAAAAAAAATAATTTATTAATAAACCAAGTGCATATCTGAAGTACTTAATGACAATTTTTACCCTAGGACTATGATTTACTCAGTGAGTAACTACAAGTATGTAGGTTTGATAGAACATTTTACCTTTTAATTCTAGAATGTTAACTTGAATTATTGACTACCTGCCAGGACTTCATTGATTTAGGTAGAACATTATATATTTAAAGAGCTAATAATTGTGTTGGCACAGGTGTAATTATGTCAGCTGAATAATTCATCTATCAAATGAAGACTATTGAATTGATAAAGACTGTTGAATCTCTATATTACTCTGTATTGTAAAAATAAGTTTACTTCATGATTTTCTCTCATAGTAAGTATGTTTGATATTCTTGAAATTATATTGCATTCATTTCTTATTATCATGAAATATTTCTTTTATGATATCAGAGTAATATTACCGTATTTCCCCATGTATAAGCACCCCCTTTGTATAAGCCACCCCCCCAATTTTTGGACTGTGAAGTTTTGAAAAAAATATTTTATTAGAGAAACAAGTTATGAAGAAAGAAAATTTACAAAGAAACAAAATTCGACGTCTAGATCTACAACTTCGGTCATGACGCCGAAAGCGGTGCGGGCGACGCTAGCAATCTACGCATCGGAACGAGAGTAGGAACGAAGCATTCAGGCCGATGCCTAGCGTATGCATTTCTATCGCGTACTCGCACTCGCAATCGTATCATCACGTACAATTTTTACAAAAAAGTATAGCATACTGCTGGAAAACCAGTTTATTCCTACTTTATTATTTTATGCATTTTTCACGTATAAAAAGTGTACCTGCTTTGTATATGCCACCCCCCTACTTTTTGGGCTTGAAAATTTTGGAAAAAAGGGGTGGCTTATACATGGGGAAATACGGTAATTGCTCAAATGAAAGACCCATGATAGAAAAATGGGCAGAAAAAAATCAGTACTTTGATTGAACTACTTACTAGAATTTTATTTAGTGATGAAATCTTTTAGGTAAGCTCAGAAGATCTAGTTATGCTGATTTTAACACTTTCTAGCAGAAATTTTGATTTTGACACTTTCTAGCGGAAATATTCATGAAAAGTTATGAAAATTAATCAGCAAATCTGGACTTGGGGAGTAGAAGTATGTGAATGTATATTATTTTCATTTTCCTCATTTTTTTCAGAATCTTTTGTGACTCTTCACATCTTTAGTTGGTACTGTTGAAAGAAGTGATAAAGAGATTTAGGTTTTACAAATTATCTAAATGAATTTATTCAGGCAAAATGTCCTAACTTAACAGATGTTGATGGTATTTGATTGAAGACTGATTGTCCAAGGGAAGGATATTGGATTTCTGCAGGATGGTTTGAATATGTTTATCCAATGTTTGGCTGCTGTGAAAAAAGCAAAGTCTATATTAGGAATAGAGTAAGAGAAGGTATTAGTATCAGTATTATCATACTGATATAAGCCTGATTTATGCTATTTTTATTTTGAGTCTCAAGCAAATATATGATGCAAAATAAACTTGTATGTAAAAGGAGATATTATGATGTTTGCATTTTTAGTTGAAAACAATTACAGGTTGAAATGGTAGGAATGTATTATGCACCCTGTAGAAAAGGTTTATTCTGTATGAGAGTTGGAAAGAAAGATTTTTCTAAAGGAGCCACATTTCATTTATAGATTGTTTTGGTGTTAATGTTAAATATTTCTCTCTGGTAACAATACTGTGAGAAGGTCTGTAGAGAACTGGACACAGTATCCCAAATGAGGCCTAACAGAAGTAGAAATGGGTTCAAATTCCTATTAATTATTCAAAACAAAATTTGTCTTTTTAGCATCGTACTTTTGGGTCAAGTCCAATTTCTGATTCTTTTCATGACTGTTACCAATATAACCCAGGCAAATTCCTCTTATCCTGTAAGGTAGCCTTCAATTTATGATCACAATAGGACCAGAAGTTTGTTCGTAAGCTGTGTCAGTTGTATATTGAGACACCCACATGATCAACCCCTTTTTACAACCATGTTTACAGTAGTCATTAAGTGAATCATACACTTGTAAGTTGTAAGTCTTAATCTATTCTCCTGAATGGATATTTTTTCCTGGAAACTGGAAAAAACATTGCAAAGTATGGCATGTGATCACAAGATTTTACAACAGCTAGAAGTGCTTTTCAGTTAAAGAACTGGTCATGAATCAAGGGCTACCTCTAATTATGACTTCTGTTTTTCTCCCCAGATGCAGAACTTTACATTTCTCACCTTAAATTCATTATAGTTGTTTCTGTATGAACTTACGTATATCTTGAGCTATTGAGCTATTTTTCCAATTTTTGTCACATCTTTATATTTGATAATCATATCCTCAATCCAAGTCATTAATAAAAGTGTGCACTCTAGGACAGGGGTCTCCAAACTTGGCTACTTTAAGACTAGTGTCCACAAGTCTTAAAGTTGCCAAGGTTGAAGACCCCTGCTCTAGGACACTTAGTACTACTCTGTAATCTATTGTATAGCCATATGTCAATATTTTTTGGATGTGAATGTTCAGTCAGTTATGAAGCCATCTAAGATTTATCACCTAACCTATATTTTATCATTTTATTAATTTTTAATTAATATTATTAAGATATTATAAAATATTTTGTTGAATGTTTTGCTGAGGTTAAGATATACTATGTCAATGGCATTCTCGAATCTATTAAAGTTGCAAT